TTTCTCACAACCATTACTAGCTACCATCCTGTTCTTTGAGATATAGAGTTGGAAGATATTGTCATCAATTTGCTCGGAGCTAGAATAGCTCTATAAAGGTTTTATCTAGGGAGACTATGCACAATATGGTATCTTTAACTCATAAACTATGAGACTTTAACTAATAAAGAAATTTTCAGTAACGAATGAAACCTTTCTTACTAAACTAGCTTGGTAGATCTATACAAATCTAGATGGTATATGGATGAAAGTTATAAGTGGAAAATATTGCTTGCAAAAGAGGGGAAATGGTTTGTTACAATACAAAAGTAGGGACTCCAAACTCTAAGAGCATATCTACATGGCCTGTAGAAATCTAGAAAACTAGTTAATCTGGAAGAAATAGGTGATGACACCCGAATTATCTTTTAGCATGTTAAATGAATCAACCACACACGGGCTACTAGACCATACTACATCCCCTATCTCCTAAGAGGAAGTTTGAAAGAAAGTAGTTGACTACTTGAATTCATAAAAGTGTGGGACATTGCAAATATCTCCCACTAGCTGACTACTTGAATTCATAAAAACATATTCATAACATCAAGAACAATGAATCAAAGAGAGTTATATGCCACGGAAAATAAAAGGTAAGGGAAAAGAAAAGATAACACCAAGATATATCCTGGTTCATTCTCTAACCACCAAGAGCTACATCTAGACTGAGGCCGATCGTTCCACTATCATCAAGCTTTCAGCCGGTACTTGAAGAAATCATTTTACAAGAAGAATTTTACGAGACCTACGATCTCCCCGATCACGCTTAACCTAAAGCCTTAGGATCTCTCCACTTGTACCAAAAACCAAATCACAATTGTAATTTTACAAGATTGTGACCAACCCCTTGATCACTCTTAACCTAAACCCTAGGATCACTCCAATTGAACAGAACCCAATCACTAAATCTGTACTAAAACCTGTAAAGTACCTCTATACGTCTAGAATTACACAGAAAATCAGAAGAAGAAGAAGAAGAAGAAGAATAAAGAGCTTTCTTTCTCTAGAAATCAAAATTAAGCATAATCCCTGACCTTGGGTGATTCTGACTCTAATGCATGTAATAATAGACTCTCTTATGTTTTTGAATCCTAAAACATGATTATATAGCAACCCAAGTCGATTTATAGAAGATATAAAAAGATTTTATTCAGATTTAAAAATAATCACGCGACCCTCGATAAATATCTGAATATATGATACCGTGTGTCCGGATATTATGGTTTTTGATATTCGGATACCATATCTGGATATGCCATATCTGGATATACAATATCCATATCCGGATATTTGATAATAGCAACCCAAAACTGATCTGAATTTGATCCAAATTACTTCTAATTGATTCTTTCACACTTCTCACACATGAATACATATTTCTAGCCTCAATATAACAGTGCACGACACAGACAGCGATGAGCACAGTTGTTCAAAGGCAACGATATAAGCCAGCCATTGGCGTGAATTTGAGTAGGGGCAACACGAAGATGGTTCAATAATTCTATTTTAAAAGAAGAAAAAGGAAAGCGGATACCAATTTTTGTAATCAGATCACGATAACAGAAGAAAAAGGGGGGTTCTTGGGGATTCCGGCCTGAACAGATGGGCTCATCTTTGGCGGGGAAAAAAGTATCGAATCCTACCGGGTTCCCTATGGGAAGCCCGGATATCTCTTCAGTATTCATGAGGGATCTAAAACTGAGCATTTCCTCAGTAACCCAGGGAAATTGCTTATGCAGATCATCGCTAACGAGGGCAGAGCCTTGTTCGGCAGGGATGACGTCGGCTTCCTGACCTTGATTAGATGAAGTAGCTTCAAGATTCAACTCTGTAGAAGGGGACTCCATAAGAACCTAGAACAATAAAGTGGGAGGATTAAACACAGAAATAGCACGTAGCAAAGAAAGTACGCACCTGAATCAAACAAACTACTATGAGCAGAGCTCGATGAATCATCAGAAGAAGTTAATGGAACAGGAGTGAATGAGCCGGGATAGTGGGTGCAACTTCCTAAAACTATGTCGGCCATGGAGTCGTTCCCTCTCTCGATGAATTGAGCACTAAGATAGACGCAGTTGAAACACGAATTCGGGCTTTGAACCTCGTGAGGGATTGACTCGGCTTGAGAAATAGTTCGAGCCGGAATAGGATTGGTAACGGACATTGAGGCCAGACGGGGTAAATGAGAGTCTTCACCACCCGGAGTACGGCCAGGTCTTTGATGACGTCCTTGTACGGAAGGACGGGACGAAGAAGCTCCCCTGATTCTACCACCTCGGTAACCTCTTAAAAGAGCGGCTTGAGTTTTCGCTTCGGTCCGAGGTCTTCCATACAGCCAGTATCTTGGCCCAGGAGGGAGGCTTTGGATGAACCTCTCTTCCTCTTGGGTGACCCTTTCTTCCTCCTCTGTCATAATCTCATCACTACGGCCAAAGATTCGAGAGAAGGTGGACCCCCCTTTGACCGCTGAAGTTCCCCCCACGCATATCTCAGAAGAACTTGGACTAAAGGAACAGTAAAATGTGAATAATCACAGGCAATGAAGGGAGAAATGTTCGAATGGGATGTGATCAGGTGGTCAAGAACGAAACATGTATAACCAGACAACAAGCATAGTAAATGGTAAACACCATGGGCGAAAGATGATAGAGAGCAGGGGCACGTAGAAAGCAACAACAAAAAGAAACCATAGCTTGAAGTAAAGTAAAGCACGTACCTGGAAAACGATTAAACACTTTGGTTGGAGGATTCTGGAAAATGGGGTAAACTGATGAAATCCTTAAAGAGCAACGCCAATTCAGAAATGCATGAGTGACAAATGAAGGAAAAGAGAGAAATCAAATAGCGTGACCCGCGAAAACCAAAGGTCAGGGGCAAAAGGGTAACTTTGCTGGACGAGACAGTTGAAAGAGCACCCTGACAGTTGCAATAAATGCAAGCGGCTCAAACGGGCGTCGTGGCATACGATGCAAGGCCACGTGGAAAGCAATTATGATTACCTGAAAAGAGGAACCATCTTTTCGGGAGGAGAATAGTCATAACTGGAAATTCCAATGTTATGGTTGGGTCCTAACATCCGGGGTATCGTGAAGAACCGTGGTCCCAGATTAGGAGATGCCAGTTAACTCAAATGGTCACCAGCTACTACGGTCAACCCCCAGGGCATAGGTCGGATGACTATCCGGGGTACTTTGCAGAGTCATAGTCTCGAATTGAGGATTACCAATACAAACAAAAATTATCAAAGGGTCCCCATTCAATACGACCAGATGGGTACCATGCAAACCCGATTTTTCATCCCTGCATCCTGAAAGCTCAGTCTACCGGGCTGGGGGGCAACTGTTATGGACCAGAGGAAGGCCTATAGTCGTGGAAAGCCCGAATAGCGCAAGCCCACAGGTGAGCACTATAAATAGGAGCTAATGACCATAGGTAAGGAGAGCTCTCTAACCATATTTTATGCAATCACGACAGTGCACACACACACCCCTCAGGCTAAGGCCGTCATATAGTGTGTTGTGATTCGCTGTCCTCAAGGTACCTAGTTCATAGGTATCTAGAGAGAAGCACTTAAATCCTAGATCAATCATCCAATCTCAATTGGACACATCTGTCTCAGGCAGAACAATATTCTTTTGAATTAATCTCTTCATGGGGCTTAGCCCCTGCTCAATATATATCATTTGTGTGACGCGATTTTTCAGAATTTTTGTAAAAAAAAAAAAAGCATCAAATTTATTTATTAGCAATAATAATATATTTAATATTTTATGTTTTCCTTTTAGTAAGGAAATTTGAAATATTTGATATGATTTATATTTAATAAATGAAATCGTGCACATAAATGCTTGAATATTAAAATTATTTATGAAATATGAAAGGATTTCGAATTATCACTAGATAATATTTTCATGTGTGTCCAAAATCATGCCGGACAAATTAAAATTATTTGTGGTGTTAAATATAGCAAATTTAAATATGATGTTTTCAACTGACCGTTACTAATTCAGTTTTTAAAATATTTTCCAGAATAAAAAAGGATTATAATTTTTCAATTTGGTAAGATGAAATTGACAATATGATGTAATCCATTACATCACATTTGTATATTGAATTAGATAATAGATTGGAATACAAATGTGAGTGTTTCTTTTGGTGAAAAAGAAAAAGGAGAAAAAGAAATTGGAGAAAAACAAAATTACTTGGCTGACTTAAGCCATGACACCTCTAATATCTATTAGAAATTACGTTTCAACTTAGAAGTTCCTAGAACTTAGCAACGACCAATTGGAGAGAAATTTCATTGTATCGGTAGCATGAATTCGGTATTATTTTTTTGGAAATTATATTTACAATTTTTTTTTTTTTATAAATTCTTACAAATACGTTCGGTCATACTTTAAACATACAGTGTATGATCGGTCGTACTTAATGTAATTTGTAAAAAAAATTTGTAAACGGATCCTATCTCATTATTTTTTACTAAAAAGAAAAAATTATTAAGATTTAAAGAGAAATATAAAAAATAGATAAAAAAGAAAAAATAAATTCTCTTTTCAGTAAAAGAGAACACCAAATTTGACCCAATGGGTGCAGCTCAGTTGGTAACTTGGCGCTGAGTTAGTGGGGTTGGATATATGTTCGATTCCCGCTGAATGCATTCTTGGGGAGGGGGCTGAACCTTTAGCAATCAGTGTTCCCCCGTACACCGGATTAGTCTCATAGCCGGCTCAAAGAGTCGAAGCTCGTGGGGATACCGGAGGGAGCCAACTCGTCTCAAAGAGATAATTAGGGTTGGGTAACTCCAAAAAAAAAAAAAAAAACACCAAATTTGACACTCCCGGTACACTGAAATTGTTCCCGAGCATAAATGTACAATAATCAAGCCTATACGTTTTGCATTACATTATTATATCCCAAAGTCCATAAAACTATTCACTCCAAAGCCACTATAAATAAACAAGCCTATACGTTTTCTTGTCATTACAATTCACTTCTTTGAGTTCTTGTCATTTCTTCATCTTTCTGTACTATATCTTAACTATAAGAATGGCGGATAAGGTGGTTCTCCTAGATTTCTGGCCAAGTCGTTTTGGGATGAGGGTTAGGATTGCACTTGCTGAAAAGGGTATTAAGTATGAGTACAAAGAAGAGGACTTGGGGAACAAGAGTTCTCTTCTCCTCCAAATGAACCCGGTTCACAAGAAAATCCCGGTTCTTATCCACAATGGCAACTCCATTTGTGAATCTCTCATTGCTGTTCAGTACATTGATGAGGTCTGGAATGATAGATCTCCTTTGTTGCCTTCTGATCCTTGCGAGAGAGCACAGGCTAGATTCTGGGCCGATTTTGTTGACAACAAGGTATACACTTTTGCGTTAGTTTTTGTGATTGTTGCTTGTAATTTCTTTGCCTTCGCTTTTGTTGATATGCTTTTAGAATAGAATGATGTAATTTGGGTTATTACCACGTTGCTGTCTATTATTTTTTCTGACCCTTTACATGTAATGTGGAACATTGAGAAGCATATAGTGGAAAATGGACCCTTTTCTTTTAAGATTCTCCACAACCAATCTTTGGTCATTATTATTAGTTGAAGTACTTTTCCTGTTTGAAAGTTTTGTTCTTTTGGTTTTTTAATATTCCTCTACCTCCTTTATATATTTATGTTGCAAAAGATCCTGTTTATTAGAGATTAGACGGGAAGTGCCTTTTATGTCAAAACAACAAAAAGCATTTGGATTATCTTTAACAACTCTTTTAGTATAGCTTTGATATATAGTAGTCAGTATTGGTTGTTAGTGGTCCTTCACTACAAGAAAAAATGTAAACTGCGACGGAATATCTGAGGCGGTTTCAAACGAACCGCCTCCAAACAATTATCAGAGGCAGTCCAGGAGGCGTTTATACTAACCGGCTGTAAATTAGTATGTGACTGAGGCGGTTACAAAGTAACCGCCTATATATATTGAATACAAAGGCGGTTGGGGAGGCGTTTGTGCTGTTAGCCTGCAGATCTTTCGATTATATGTACTTTATTCAGAGGCTGTTATTCAAACCGCCCTAATCTATTATTGAAAAATAGTAAAAAATGCGTGTAAGAGGAATCGAACCTGCGCCGTATTCATTATATTGGGAAACTACGTGTAACCACTGATCCAACTAAAAGTAATAACCAAGAAATGCAATATTTTTTTCTTATTTAAAAAGTGTGCGTTTCACTTTCATTAGGCGGGCTCGTTTCCCTCCGTCTGAAAAATTAGAGTGACTTTTTAATTTAGGGTTTAGGTATTTCCTTTTGTCCCTAACTTTGTCTCTTCAAATTGAAAGCCCTCTTTTTACCGTTTGTAGACATTTATCTCTCAAAGGTCATCGGCGGTGAAGGACGTCAAAGTCACTATAGTTGTCCCATCAAAGGTCATCGGCGGTGTCTGTGTAGTTGTCACGGTAGCTCTCAAAGGTCACCGGTGGTCCCATCATCCAATACTCAGGCACGATTTTGTCAAAACTCAGGTGCCTTCATAATACTCTTACCTGGCAATGGGTAGAGACTAAAGAATGCTTATTTTTCATTTAATTGTTTTTTTAATCTTTGAATGTGTCTGTGTTGTGCATATCCTGCAGCTGATAACACATACATTTGTTACAGGGATTTATTTTGAAAATGTAATCATCATCGCCTGAACTAAACCTCCTCTCCCTTCCAGAGCTTAAAATAGACTTTTTGGAAGGAATTTCCCTGTAACTTGTGATTCCATCAATTCGACATGTAAAATTATGACTGTTTTCTTCAAATTCAATCAATATTTTTTTTCTTCAAAATAATAGGACTATTGATTAATATGTTAGTTTTGGTTAAAAATATGGTTGCACCTATTAAAAAATAAATCTATTGGTAAGACGATTTATTTACCTACCATGGTCATTGTTGTTCAACTTTGAATCTGATGTATTTGTTTACTCTTAAGTTGTAAGTGATTTTTAGATAGTAAATCTACACCTCGTTACAGAATGCATAGGTTATCACTTTTTTGTTTGTTTCTAGAAATTTTTCATTTTTGCAAGGCTGTGTCACTGTCTATCAAACCATATATAAAGCTTAAAGAGTAATGGTACTTAACCTTATCCTCAAACTGCCTAACCAGTCCTCAATGTTTTGCTTCAAATTTGATCTTTCTTTCTTTTTTAATGCAGAGGTTCTTTTTTAATTATCTTAAAATGTACCTACCTCCTCTTGCTTTTTTGTTTCCAATTTGGTTAGTTGTTTTTGGGCATGATTGATGTTTCTTTTACCCCCTTTTAACACTGCTACATATTTCATCTTACCATATGGTCTATCCTTTGTATCCTCCTCATGATCTGAATCCTTAAAATCAACCTTGTTATACACCATTCTGATTGTATAGATGTAACTAGCTAGTTGTGTTTTTTTTCTTTTGTATTTTACATATATGATGATATATTAATAATAAAAAATAAAATAAAAAAGTTTTCTTTTGTATGATTTGTATTATAACTATTTGATGAAATGGATATGAAGCATAAATAATCAAATATGTAAAATGGAGTAGACAAGGCAGGGCAAGAGCAAGGCATAGAAGGAGTAAGTGTATTTAAAGAAGAAACTTTGAGGGTACTACTCCTTAGAGGCACACATGGTTCTGTATTTTGATGACTTCATTTTCCTTTTCTTGAGGAATCATTCAATCAATCATGAATTAATGCCTTTCTGTCATTATATTTATTATTATGATGATTAAATTTTAGATATTGTTATTTGTAGTTTATCTTTGGCCCCTGCTATTATCAATAAAAAAAGAATTCTAGATTATTTATAATATGAATGAAATTGAAATAAGATATGTTGTTTGTATTAAAAAAAGGCTTACTATGTGGTCTGGTACTGTTTATTTCAGGTTCATCTTTTAAAAAAAAAAAAGATATTTCAGATTTATCACTGCGCTTTGGTTCTTGTGGTCATTCCAGGTATGTGTTTGATATATCTTACACCCACATCACTTTTTCCTATTTTTATTTTTTATATTTTGTTATCTCCTTTGGTTATTCAAATTATATATTGAACACGTATATGTCCCATTTTGGTTGCATAACCATTTAAGGCAGCCCCAGAAATCATTATTTTCCACTCTCCAGCTTCCTTAGAAACAATGCCCTCAAAAACAGTTAAGGTCAATTCTGCACATCCTCATTTTGGATATTCCCTTGGCCAAGGATTGAAAATATTCTGAAAATATGTAGCATACACTTTATTAAGGAATGGTTCTTTACAATTTCAGCATTTTGCTTTTTAAATTGTCTGAACTTCTGCTAATTGAGGTTTGCCTTTTAAACTGTTGTGTGTGTATATATATATATATATATTTTATCTAGTGTATGATGGAAGGGAAGTGACGGAGACAAAGAAAGAATGTATGTATAAATGGTGTCAATGTATATATTTTTTTGTTTCTTTTCTTCTTTGTATGGGAGGAGGAGGGTAAGCATGCGCATCACCAGTGCTGCTCTTTACTAAAAATTCTGATGTAGGCATCAGTTCTTGAACCACATAATGTCTTCTTCTTGCATGTTCAGCCTTTCTCATGAAACCCTTTCATTATTTATTCTTGAGTTCCCTTTGCTGTAAGCATTTCTTTGCTGTAAAAATGTGCTCGTACAGAATGAAAATCCATATACATTTCATGGTAACCAAAACAAAAATGTACCCTTTATCTGTATCCAAAAGAAATATTTTCAGTGCCTCTTTATTACATTCATAACAACTGTAGCATATTTGCATACAACCCTTAGGTTCTATAAATATATTCAGCACCTCTGTATTACATTCGTATTATTGCATTACTGTCATCTCCTGATAATTTGGTCAATAAAACATTGCATTTCAAAACTGCGTGTATGAGAAAAATGCTTGTCTTATTTTCAGAGTGAATGGATAAGTCTTGGATTACAAAACCGCGAAATTCAATTGAATATGTTGAAGGAGTTAGGAGATTTATTGCTTTTGCTTTTCAACATAGTGCAATTGAAGGCAAAATATTATGCCCTTGCTCGCTATGTGGTTTTATAAAGTGGTTGTCAAAAGAAACAGTATATGATCATCTGCTGTGCAAGAAATTCCCTGAAGGATACACATTTTGGTTCTATCATGGAGAGTCAGATATGGGGTCAACTAGTAATGTTGCTGGCCGAGCTGAGTCACAGGGTGCGGTAGACCAGAATGTTGATGTGGATCCAATGATAGACATGATCAATGATGCATTTGGCATAAATAGTCAACGTGACAATGATGTACAATTTGGGTCGGAGGAAAACATTGCCCAAGGGGGGAAACAAATTGTTTTGCAAATGAAGAAGTTAATGGAGACAAAGAATTTGTTGAATTAGCAAGAGATGGGGAACAACCATTGTATGAAGGGTGTCATAAATATTCAAAGCTCTCTTTTATTGTTAAGTTGTATCATATTAAGTGCTTATGTCGGATGACTGACAAGTCCATGACTATGATATTAGAGCTTTTGCATGATGCGTTTGAACATGCCAAGATTCCATCTTCATTCTATGAAGCAAAGAAGACTATTACCAAGCTAGGATTGGACTACAAGAAGATACATGCTTGTCCAAAAAATTGTATGTTATTTTGGGGAGCGGAGGACGAAGATAGACAAATTTGTAAGGTTTGCTATGCATCTAGATGGAAACCAATTGTTAAAGACAATGAACGTACAAATTCTCAACAAGGAAGAAAGAAGCGTAACGTGGCTGCAAAAGTAGTTCGGTACTTTCCCCTTAAACCACGCTTGCAAAGATTATTTTTATCAACAAAGACTGCCGAAGATATGAGATGGCATGCGGTACATAATAACAATGATGGCTTCATGAGACATCCTAGAGACTCTGAAGCATGGAAGAAGTTTGATGAGTTGCACACATCATTTGCTTCAGACCCACGAAATGTGCGACTCGGTTTAGCCACCGATGGTTTTAATCCTTTTGGTAATATGAGTGCTAGTTACAGCATTTGGCCAATCATTCTAGTTCCGTACAACACCCCTCCATGGTTGTGTATGAAGTCTACATCTTTTATCATTTCAACTATCATACCTGGTAAAAAAATGCCAGGTAATGACATTGATGTGTTCCTACAACCTTTGATCAAAGAGTTGAAAGAATTGTGGCAAGATGGTGTACATACTTATGATGCTTTTACACGGGAGATGTTCAAATTACATGCAGCATTGATGTGGACGATTAGTGATTTTCCTGGCTTAGGAAATCTATCTGGTTGGAACACATACACTGGCTTAGCTTGCCCGTCATGCAACATGGATCAAGAACCTTGTCGTCTTTATCATAGTAAAAAATGGTGTTTTATGGGTCATCGACGCTTTCTTGACCAAAGACATAGATTTAGATTGAACAAGGTTCGGTTTAATGGAAAACAAGATGTGCGTGATCCTCCAAGGATGTTGTCTGGTTGTGAAATACTTGAACAAGTTGCAAATATTAATGTCACATTCGGTCGACCACCAGAAGTCAGTGGAAGAAGAAAAAGAGGATGTGCTAGTAACCGTGATGCACATGGAAACACCAAGCAATGGAAAAAGAAAAGCATTTTTTTTGAACTTCCATATTGGAGGCATAATTTATTGCGTCACAATCTTGACATGATGCACATTGAGAAAAATGTGTGTGACAATATCATTTACACATTGCTTAATGATGCCTCCAAGTCAAAAGATCATATGAATGCTCGAAAAGATCTTGTAAGAATGGGTTGTAAGCATGACCTCTGGCCAGATGAGAATGGAAAATATCCTTTAGCAATCTATGCAATGACTAATCAAGGCAAGAAGATGTTTCTATCAACATTGAGGAATATCAGTGTACCAGATGGTTATGCAAGCAACATTTCTAGGTGCATTGATGTCGATTCTATGCGGTTGAATGGACAGCTGAAAAGTCATGATTGTCATATATTGATTGAGCAATTACTGCCATTGGCCACACGAGTAGCATTGCCTGATAATGTTTCAAGCATTTTAATTGAGTTGTGTCCATTCTTCAAACAAATGTGCGACAATGTGTTGAAAGTTGAGAAATTAGATTTACTACAACGTCAAGTGGTGGTCACCCTATGCCACATGGAAATGTTATTTCCTCCGTCATTCTTCACAGTCATGGTTCATTTGATTGTTCATCTTGTTGAGGAAGCTAAGCTTGGAGGTCCTGTGCACTATCGATGGATGTATCCTATTGAGAGATACTTGGGACAATTGAAATCATATGTGCGTAATAGAGCTCGACCAGAAGGGTCTATAGCACAAGGTTACCTAATGCAAGAGATCCTAACATTTTGTTCAAGGTACATAGATAATATTGAGACTCGATGGAATCGACCTGGGCGGGTCAATGATGTACCTAATGATGCACAAGATAAATCACGTGTGGATGAAATCTTTCCTCGAGTAGGAAAACCAATTGGTGCATCATCATATTTCAATCTTACATCAATGCAGAGGTTGCAGGCTCATAGACATATTTTGACGAATTGTCCACTTGTTGAACCATACGTCCAGTAAGTGAACCTCCATGATTACTATAAGCATGCTTTTTCGATTCATCTTCTAATTTAATCTATTTATATAGGGAGTTTCGGAGAGACGTGAAGAGGCAACTAAGAAAGACTAATCGAAGTCAATCTGAGATAGATAAACGAGTTCATAGAGAGTTTGTTAATTGGTTCTCTAAACATGTAGGTATTTTATTGCATAATAAAGGTCAACAATATTTATCCTTCACGAATAAAATTGCAGGGTCCTAACATTATTAATTTTTTGTGTTGTAGATTCCGATAGATATTGAAAATATTAGAGAAACAGACAAAGATATTATGTTTTCCCTTGCTCAAGGCCCTATGTCTGAAGCAAGAAGGTTCAGTGCATATAATGTTAACGGCTTCAAATTTAGAACATTGGATCGAGACAACAACCTGAAAACACAAAATAATGGGGTTTTTGGAACGTTTGACACAAGAAGTTATTCAAGCAGTAGAGATGATCAAATGATATGTGGAGGAGTTCCTTACTATGGGAAATTGGTTGACATTATTGAGATTAACTACAATGGCTTGTTCACTGTACCTTTGTTTAAATGTCAATGGGCTGATACGACTACTCATAGAGGGCATAAAAAAGATAAATTGGGTTTTACCCAAATTAACTTTTCAAAATTGATACATACTGGTGAGAAAGAGGATGATGAGCCGTATATTAAAGCTTCAGAAGGTCAGATGGTTTTTTATGTTGATGATGAGAAAGAAAAGGGTTGGAGCATACCTGTCCATGTAAAGCCGCGAGACTTGTATGATATGGGTGAAGATGTCATGACAACCACTGACCTATTCCCATCACAAAACTTGGACCATATTTTAGTTGATGACAGAATAGCTCTACAATTATCAAGACCTGCCACAGATGATGACACTCCAAATTTGATGGATAATCACAATGAGGATGAAGATTTGGAAATATGAATTTTTCTGTTAAGGTTTAGGTTATGTCTACTTATATAGACATGCATCATGTATTTTTATCGTAAATGTTTTTTGTATGGTGTGTTGTGTATGGATTTCTTCATATCATGTGTTTTGTTTGTATGTTTTGTTTGTATGGATTTCTTTATACTATGAACTTTTTCAACTACATATGGGAATTGGATGATTTGTAAATACTTAAATATATGTTGGAATGTTATATTTTTGAGAAATGGATTAGGTGAGGTGCCGCGTACAAGGAGATTCCCTGCAAGAAAAGCTCCAACAACGTCTATAACTCCTACTACGTCTACAACTCCTACTGTGCAAACTCAAAATGTACAGCTCAATGAGAACCTACAAAATGGCATTGATAGGGTGGAAACACAACAACGTGAAATAGAAGGCCAACAAGATCAACCTTCTAATGAATCCCAGCAACAAAATGAAAGCAGACCTCCCTACCGGGCCAAGAGAGCATGCAATAATTATTGGGTGGTTGATGTTATAGGTATACCATATAACACCTATATTGACTCTCTTTTTTATGTATGCTTATGTCATTAATTATTGTCTCACTAACAAAAATCATATAAATATATATGTTATAGATGAACAAGGAAGGGTTACCGAGGAAAGATTGCGTATTAGGGATGTTTTGGTTCTTTCAGAAGACAAGAGGGTGATGGTGCCATGGAATGAAGAGAACCAGCCTGTTTCTGATGCTGCTGCATTGTTGAATGGGTTTTTAGGACATCTTGCATGTAACACTAATATGTTCCCAATATCTTTCGATAGGTGGCCTCATGTACCTCCCTTGTATAAGCAGAATGCTTGGGAGAAGACTATAACGGTATAAATGCTCTTTCAATTTCATTTACTAAGCTTAAAATTATTATGAATTGATTTTTTAAATTGACCATATTGCAGAAAAAGTTTAATGTTTATCATGAAGACCATCATGAATATTGTATGGGAAGTATGGGAAAGAAATGGAAGGATAATAGGTGGAGGCTGTGCAATTATTATTATCATAAAGATCTAAGTTATGAGCAAAACCTTGAGAATTATCCTGATGGTCTCACAAGAGAACAATGGGCTGGTTTTTTGCAATATAAGTTAAGTGACAAAGCCAAGGTAATTACAGTGAGCTAAATACTTGGGCTGGTTTTTTGCTTAATTTGGTTTACTTGACCTCATTTTAAATATGCTTTGCTGGACAATGCAGAAATACAGTGAGATAAATACTAAAAATAGAGCAAAGCAGACCATTATGCATACACTTGGATCAAAAAGCATTGCAAGGACAAAATATGACCTGGTATTGATGTTAATTAACAATGTCTTTATCTATCTCTGATTTGTAAATTTGTATAACATTTAGTATACTGACATTGCTTTAGGAACAAAAACATGGACGCAAATTCAGTAGGGGGAAATGTGGGAAATTTCGCATACGAAAAAGGATGGCAATTTAATTAGTGAGGAAGCTAGAGAAAAGATTGTAAGTATTTTCTTTGTGAATTAGGAAGCTATACATTCTATTTGATTAAATGTTTGATGTTTTATTGTAGGACCAATTACAAGTGGAGATAGAGGACACAACTTCTGAAGATGAGGCATTTGAGACAGTGTTTGGGAAGGAGCACCCAGGACGAGTTAGAGGAATGGGGTATGGGGTGGTTATCTCTCAAATGCGTAAGCGCCGCCGTACCAGTTCTGCATCATCCTCTTCTGCCGGTCCTTCGCAAGCAGAGTATGATGCCATGAAACAGGAACTCGATGATTTAAAAGGAAAAATGGGAGAACTGGACTCCTTGAAAGCACAAATGGCTTCTATTGTGCAACATTTGACTGCTCAACAACCTTCTCATATTTCCTTAAATGAGGTAAATCTTGGGTCATATTTAAATGCATGCTTTGGAATTAGAGTTGGTTCAATTTATGTTAGCTACTGCTGGACATCATTATTTTTTTGAGGACTATGGATTTTTTGCACAACATATTTGTTTTGTATATATATTCTACAATGGTGACTGCTATTGTTGATGATAAATGTGTATAAAATGTTATGGGGTTTAAATTCTGCCATTTAATTTATGTTTCATGATTAACTTGTTTGATATCATGATTGGGCTGTATATGATGTCTTTAAATTAATGGTAATGCTGACATTTCAGTGGCAATGCTGAGATTGTTACTGATACAAAACATGTACATCTATACTGCTAACTTTGTCAAAATTTGTTAGCTCAGTTACTGTATCATATCAACATGCTTTTTGAATCTTGTCCAGTTTCAACTATTTTTTTTTCTTAGGTTGGTATTGGACAGCTTTTGGCAAAGTAATAGCACATGAAAACTCACTCACAACCTTTGTATTTGATTCTCTGGCACATAAATTTCAAGGATGCTCTACCAAAAAGCTTATTTGTTTGCTAAAAGTTCACCTTTTGTTTTTCTGTTTTGAATATGTATTTACTCTCATATAAGCATACATTGCTTCACCTACATACTACATAATGTGTCATTATTCAGCTATAATAAATAATGTTTTGTTGCTGAATGATAGATTATTTATTTTACACACCATAATGTTAGAATCTGTAAGTAACCTCTACTTAATATGTGACATTGTCAAATTTGGCATTTAATTTTATCATATTATATCTGCCTACAACTGTTCAGATTTTTGCATTTCAATAGCTATAGTTATTTATATTTCCTTTTTCTTTTTTTTCCAATGTATCAGGTTCCAGATTTAGGTTCTCCAGGGATTAGGAGATCTTCTCATGCAAGTCATGACCCTGCTTGTGAAGGACCAGATTCATCCCCTCAAATTCCACCTCCACCACCAGAGTTGAATATTTGATGTAGTCATTGATGTTGGATGTGTTCTTGACTTGATGTCATTATCATAGAGATTTTGATAATATATGCACTTTTTAATGTAGTTATTTGGATAATATATGCACTTGATGTCATTTTGGATGTTAAACATATTATGTCATTTTGGATAATATATGCACTGGATGTCATTTCATTTGATGTAGTTATGACATTGTTTATGGTTGTTAAACATATTATGTTCTATAATTTTGGATTATATATGCTGTAAGTAACCTTTTATGTTGGTATGAATTTATATATATATATATATATATATATATATATATATATATATATATATATATATATATATATGCATGTTAATTATTCAGGGATGATGCTAAAATTATATGTTCAAATACAACAATTAAAAAAAAAAAATTAAATGCACTGGCTTTTGGAGGGTTAATGTAAACTTATATTAACAAAATTAAAATAAATATATATATAAAAAAATAATTATTTATATAAGGAGGCGGTTCAAGAAAACCGCCTTCAACTTTACGGACAAAGTTAAACCATTTATAACCGCCAAATAAACCACCTGAGTACATTAGTAGTATAAGGCAGATTGCAAAACCGCATAATAATAAGACTACAGGCGGTTAACTGAACAGCCTAAAAAAATTTTATGCAGGCGATTTCATAAACCGCCCAAGTAATTATTAATTGAGGCGGTTTATAAAAAAGCCTCAAAATGTAATACAGAGGCAGTTATATGAACCGCCCTTGATTCCTTACCAGATTCTTGTCTTGCTAACTGAGGCGTTAATATCCGCCAGAGAGTACGCCTCTATTTATTTGTATGCGGTTGTACCGGCGCTTTCTTTTAACCGCCCTAGTTAGCGTCTCGACAGTGGTAACTGAGGCAGTTGCTGAACCGCCTAGCGTTTAAATCAAAGGCGGTTAAAACCGCCTCAGTTTCCTTGTAGAACCGCCTCAATATAGTTGTTTTCTTGTAGTGCTTCCCCTTTTTCATTCTTGCATTTTATGGTCTAATTGAGTGTGTTTGTTCTCAAATGTCAAATAGATAAATGATATTGGAAGGAAGCTTTGGACAACAAAAGGAGAAGAACAAGAAGCTGCCAAGAAGGACTTCATGGATGCCATTAAATTGTTGGAGGAACAGCTTGGAGACAAGACTTACTTTGGTGGAGACAAGATTGGCCTTGTGGATTTAGCACTTGTTCCATTCTACACTTGGTTTAAAGCTTATGAGACTTTTGGCAACTTCAAGACAGAGAGTGAGTGCCCCAAGTTCATTGCTTGGGTCAAGAGGTGCATGCAGAAAGAGAGTGTTTCCAAGTCTCTTCCTGACCAGCATAAGGTCTATGAGTTCATTTTGGAGGTAAGGAAGAAGATGGGCATTGAGTAGATTGGAGGCATAGTAAAGTACTTGTCTTTCGTTGTTTGTGTGCTTCACCTTTCATATAAAGTATTTAGTAACCGAGGTTACTTAAATGTGCCAAATTCATGCTTTGTTGCATGAATATGTAGGTTTTGAAATATTTAAGATGTATCTTTGATGTGTGTGTTGGTCTTGTAATCGAGTCTTTTCTGCATTATGATGTAGTTTTATTATCAGTTGGTCTAATCACCAAAACTAGACCTGTTGTTATGCTTGACATCATGTAATGAAAAAAATTTATACACCTTCCTTTGCAGTTGTATTTGATATATTCTATTCTCCTAAGTTATGATTTCTCATGCTTCCTCATTGTTTCTTTAAGCATGCAGGCTTAGAATCCTCATCAATGAACAACGGCAAAAAAAAAATTAAAATATCACAATTTAAATAAAAAATTATTAATATATAACTATTTTCATATTAATTATGGATCTATTATAGGATGTCATGCTCGGATTGGGCTTGACAGCTCACGCCCCATATATCAACCCTCACTGTCAAATAGATGACAGTGGATTAACCAAGTGTTTAAGTGGAATTTAAACACGTATTTCAAGAAACGGTAAACGGTAAATCATGTAATTGACATGATAAATAAGTTAAAAATATAGTTTATGTCAAATAAGTCTAATAGAATCCTAAAATAAGTATAAGGTATATGTGGGGACATAGATGTCATTATGTGAAAAGTCAGGATTACTTTGGTAATTGACCAAGGTTAAGTCAAAGGTTGATTTTAATGATGTAATTAAATTTTATAGATAATTTCATGGGTTCAAAGTGATTTTATTGTGATCAAACAATGTCTAGATTAATTTCTAAAAATAGGTCAAAGTAACAAAAATTAATAAACCAATGGAAATTGGTTTAGGTCAAAGATGAATACAAAGTTGTTAAGTTAGTAACATAACTTAACTTTGTGATTTCTTTGCATGATTTTTGATGTATGATTGATTCTTTGTGACCTTGTATGTTATATATTCTTAAATGTCAAAGTCTAGTGTTGACTAACCAATTAGAATCAAGGTTGACTGGTCTAGAACAAATGAACCAATGAATAGAAAGTTTGAAAGTCTAAAGGTGTAGAATTTGCCAAGTAAGCAATCCTAGTCACCTTTGCAATTGTTGGACGATTTGTGTAGGTGTAAAGGATCTAGAATATTGTATGAAAAGTTGACAAAGCAAGTGGGAAGTTAAGGACTAATAGGATCTAAGCAAGTGTGTAAAGTTATAAAGTTAAGTAACTTAGTGATATTTCACTAAGTATAACCGGTCATACACTCTTCATAGGAATCTCACACATGTGTCTTCTTCCTTTCCTTCTCCATGGCTGAACCTTGTGTCTAGAAAGAGAGAGCGTGACTTTTAAATTAGAGGGTTATGATGAGAACCTTATGGTCATAAATAGAATGAGAATGAAATTCTAAGAATTTGGATACCCATATTGAGGGTATTCCAGTCAGGTGAATTTTTATCTGCTGTTTTTTACTGCTACGCAGTAATAGACTGTAGAATAGCTCTAGTACAGTGAATTTAAGTTAGAGAGCTATCCTAATAATATGAATATCATAAATGATGTAAGAATAAGATTTGATGAAGTTTGATACCTATATTGAGGGTATTCTGAACAACGGAGTTTTCAGCTGTTGTTTTTGACTGCTGACGCAGTAACAGTCTGTAGAATAGCTCTAATCTGGCAAATCTGAGTTAGAGAGTTAATCTAATGATATAAACATTATGAATGAGGTTAGTATATGAGAACTAGAAAATAATTTCATAATTGACCCTAATAATTATGAGAAGGCTTAATTAATTATAGTAAGTGTGAGATAATGTTGAAAGTCGTTTTTCTAACGAAAAGTGTAGATACCGGTTCTGCTACTCGGTATAAATGCGTACCGATGAAGTATCCCAGAAAATTATAATAAGTGTGTATATGTCCCTAGAATAATATATAGGACTTGTAAAATAAGTTTCAAGTCAAAATAATGAGAACTGGTGCCAGAACTGATACTGGCTATGGAAAAGCGCGTACCGAAAAGGTGCTGCGAAAAATAAAATAAAAATATGATAAATCCTGGAAAAATGAGTAGGTTCAGAATCCTAATTTTGGGATTAAAATACTAAGCGTAGCGATTAACACTAATACAGAGCGATTAAGACTTAAGTGGCCTATAAATAGCCTTGGCACATGATCCTAGGTCATTTTTGTGTCTTGCTATGTGGGATTTTCTGAAGAGAGGAGTCAGCCACTTTGCCATCCTCTTCCACCTCCATTGGAGCTCCAAGGGAGCACATTTTCTTCATTTTCCTTCACCTAAACTCCTTGGGTGATTGTGAATCATCATTGTGAGTGTAAGAGGAGCACCTTTTCTGAGTGTTGGTGGCTGCGTTGAGTGGGTGTGGGGGCTGAGTTCTTGGGTTGGGGTGTTGGAGCCTTGTCTTGGTTGATGAAGCTCCAAGTGTCAACCTTTGTGAAGAAAAACCAAGTCTTGTGTGCCATTTTCGTGCACCCTTGTTGTCTGAACTTTGGAGCTGAAGTGAGAGCTCCAAGATCATCCACCTCTGTTTTGGTGCTTCGGGTAAGTTGTTCAACCTTTGATCATGAGTTTTATGGTTAAAGATGGAACCTTGATGCATGTAACAAGCTAGGTGAATAACTTGAGGTTGGGTGAGGTTAAACACACCTAAAAATGCATGTTTAAGCTTCTGGAATCGCTAAAAGAGCAACCTTTTTGAAGGATATCTCGCGAAATGCAGAACTTCATTCTGTCGTGAAATATCCAGATATGGGGTCTGTAGATATCCGGATATGGGATATCTGGATATGACCCCGAAAAATATCCGGATATTCTGGGTCTGCCTGAACAGTAACGGTACTGTTCATACAGAACAGAGTTATGGGTTTGTGGACCCTAGATTGATGAAGTGAGACTTCTGTAATAACTTATCTAAGTCAGAATCACGGGATTAAGGGCTTTTGGTTTCGTGAGAAGCCTTAAGACATGAAACGTAAAAGAGAAGCGTTGTCTTTATGTATATGCTTATAAGCTATGGTTGTTGATATTATTGCTGGTCCAAAATAGATTGTGATTCTGTTGTGTTGGGACTTGTGCTTGTGTGGACTCTTGGCTTGGATAGCTAGCTTGCAAGGTAAGCTTTTGTGTCCTCGGTTCAGCCATTGTTTGTTCCACCATATCCGATGGGGGGATGGTTTATATGCATGATGTGTTTTCATGTGCTGTTTTAATGAAATGCTATTGAGCTGTTACGTACAAGATGCTTATGAGATGTATATGGTGTTTCGCCTAGACAGGAAGCCATGGGGTGGTCCTGTGGGCGGGTACAACATGGGCGTGTACTGTGTGGATAATAGACGTATTTCTGCACTTCTATGATCAGTAGAATAGTTATAACATACATTTCATGTTTATCTGCTGCTTTGCACTGATTTTGGAACTGATATTGAATTACTGTTTTAGAACTTATATTGCACATGTAAGTGAGCTTGGGGTGGAAGATCCTTGAGGACCCCTTGTCTTACTGAGATTTATTGTTTAGAGATCTCACCCCACGTTTGGGGCACATATTTCAGGTTCAGGTAATGCGGGGGTTGAGACCTCTAGCGGCAGGAGGCCGAAGCTTAGCTGATTTATATGTTGTTATGCTGCTTATGTTGGA